CCGGAACCTCATCATCAAAGTCAACCTGAGGCTCCGCCGCTGGTGCTGTTGCTCTGGGCTGAGCTCTGCCCCTACCTCGGCCTCTAGCATGGCCTCGCCCTCGCCCTCTGCCCCTCGTAGGAGCTGCTGCTGGGTGCTCGGGATGCTGGTTAGCGGATGAGGAAGCACGCGTTCTCGGCATCTGTGAAAGAACAGAATAGAAATTCAATCAGCATTGAGAAACCAAACCGCACGACAGGAAAGAATAGATGTGAAATTTTTCCTAACTCTGTAGCCTCTAGGGGATAAATACAGACGTCTCCGTATCGATCCCTCAGACTCTACTAAGCTTGTCTGTGAACTGTGAGACCCGTGTAACCTAGAGCTCTGATACCAACTTGTCATGACCCGGATTTTCCACCCTCGGGAGTCGTGATGGCGCCTACTCGTGAAAGCTAGACAAGACGCGTATTATAGAACCACTAACCCTTTTATTAGCCCTTTTTAACAATTTGAAACAACATGCACTCAACATCGAAATATTAACGATAAATCAATACATGCGGAAGACGTAATCTGATAACTTAGCCAAAAACCAGTACGACAATACCAACATACTCCTCTACCCGGAATTCGGTGTCGCAGTATCACATACCAACTACAAATACTACATACAAATGTCTGGAAAGAAAGGTACAATCTGTCTCTGAAGTAAATGAAAACAGAATACATATAAAGATAGAAGAGAACGCCGGGCCTGCAGACGCCTGCAGGACTACCTCGGATTCTCTGACTGGACTGAAGGCAGCCACCCAAAGATAAGGTCCAACAGCTACCGCTCTGGGATCTGCACATAGTGTAGAGTGTAGTATCAGCACAACCGACCCCATGTGCTAGTAAGTGCCTGGCCTAACCCCGGCGAAGTATTGACGAGGCTAGGACCAGACTACCAAATAAACCTGTAAAGTTATATAATATGCAACGGAAAATAAAACATAAATAAACAAGTAAAGATGGGAGGGGGGTACATGCTGCGGGGGATTATCAATACCAACAGTAAATTAAGAGAAAGGCACGAGAACAATTTAGAATTTACAGCAAAACAATAATAACACTGTTGCGGCGTGCAACCCGATCCATATCATTTATCACTGTTGCGGTGTGCAACCCGATCCAATTATGTCATTGTTGCAGCGTGCAACCCGATCCATTTATATCATTGTTGCGGCGTGCAACCTAATCGATTTATATTATTATTGCGGCGTGCAACCCGATCCAAATATAATATTGTTGCGGCGCGCAACCCAATCCAAATATAATATTGTTGTGGCGCGCAACCCGATCCACATATACAATTCAACACCAATCACAACAAGAGTCCCGGCAAGGGACCAATAAAAAACAACACTATCCCGGCAAGGGAATCGACAGTGTAAGTAAATACGTCCCGGCAAGGGAACCATCAGCTATAACCAAACTTGTCCCAATATCTAACTATCTCAACTAGCACCAATACTCAATCATAAGTAATCTCCACGAAAGTAAACATAATCCTTGGTCAACAAAGAGAATCAAAAACTTAGGCATTCGCAGCAACTACTAAGAATACAATAATTTCACTTTAAGACTCACGGTCATGCTTGACACCAACGTATAGATACTCGTCACCATGCCTATACGTCGTACCCAACAAGTAACACGTAGCAAATAGGACACAACTCCTAATCCCTCAAGCTAAGGTTAGACCAAACACTTACCTCGAACTTCCACGGCCAACTCAAGCCTCAAACACCGCTTTTCCTTTTGAATTTGGCTCCAAATCAATTGTATCTAGACATAATCGACTTAATAACATCAATAAATGCTAAACAATCCAATTCCAATGCTTAATTATAGATTTTCTATCATTCTTCCCAAAAAGTCATAAATCGACCCCGGGCCTGCATGGTCAAAACACGAGGTTCGGACCAAAACCCGATCACCCATTCGCCCACGAGCCCGAATATGTAATTAGTTCCAAAATTCGATCCCAAAACGAGGTCTAAATCCCAATTATGCAAAAAGCCCTAGCTCTACCCAAATCCCTAATTTTCTACCCTTAGGAACATGATTTAGGCCTAAAAATATAATGGGTGTTAATGGAAATTGAAAAAAATGAGTCTAAGATTACATACCTATGAATTTTTGGTGAAGTTCTCTTTCAAAAATCGCCCAATTTGGAGTTTGGAAGAAGAAGTTATGAAATTTTGGTGAAATCGTGTATGTTCTGCTACTGTTTAAAAATCAGTGGGCAGGCCTTCATCGCATTCGCGATAGGCCTGTCGCGTTCGCGATGAGTCAGGTCTAGGTGACCTTCGCATTCGCGATCTTAGGCTCGCGTTCGCGGAGCTTTGGCTCCTCTAGCCTTCGCGTTCGCGGTCCAGTGGCCGCGTCCGCGTAGCACAAATGTGAACCCCTCTCCCCCAGGCCATTAGCCTTTCGCGTTCGCGAGTGCCTGGACGCGTTCGCGAAGGGTTCTCCCCGCGTTCGCGTCTCAGGCTCCGCGTTCGCGAAGAAGAAACAGGCACCTGAGGGAGTTTCCTTACGCGTTCGCAAGTGGGACCACGCAAACGCGAAGAGCAAAACCTCTGTGCACTGAGACAACAAAAACCTGCAATTTTCTTAAGTTCAAAAACCTCCCGAGACCTATCCGAAACTCACCCGAGCCCTCGGGGATCCAAACCAAACATGTACACTACTTCAAAAACACCCTACGGACTTACTCGTGCATTCAAATCACCAAAATAACATCAACAACTATGAATTTAGCATCAAAATCATGAAATTACATAAGAACTTCAAATTTTCCATTTTTCTCAAATACGGTCCGATTCACGTCATTTCAAGTCCGTTTCTTACCAAATTTCATAAAGTCAACTTAAACCACATATAAGACTTGTATCGGGCTCCGAAACCATAGTACGGGCCCGATACCATCAAATTCTAAGCACATTTCATTTCCAAAACTCATAACTGATGCGAGAAAATAATTTTCTTTAAAAATTCATTTCTCGGGCTTGGGACCTCGGAATTCAATTTCGGGCATATGCCCAAGTCCTATATTTTCCTACGGACCCTCCGGGACCGTTAAATCATGGGTCCAGATCCGTTTACCCAAAATATTGACCGGATTCAACTTAAATTCATTTTTAAGTCAAAATTCATCATTTTTCACAGATTTTCATATAATGGCTTTCCGGCTACGTGCCCAGACTGCGCACGCAAATCGAGGTAATGTCGAGTGATGTTTTTACGGCCTCGGAACGTAGAGTTTATTTCTAAAATAAGTGATGACCTTTTGGGTCATCACAGTAGGAAAGTTGTAGATAAGTTGTAAATAAGTGTATACTGTATATTTAGTTGTATGAATTTTATTTTTAGTATGTATGAAAGTTGTTAATAAGATATAAATAAGTTGTAAATTATATAATTAGTTGTATAAAAATTTATTTTTAATTTATATGATGTTGTAGATGGATTATTTAAGGGATTTTTACCTTCCTATACCATATATGAAACCTTATTACCCTCAATGTTTAAGGTTTGTATTAATTACACTTCAGTATACCAAATTACCATTTATATACCATAATTCAAATTAGGGATATAATTAAGGGTTCATTTATATTAGGCGCTAATTCAAGACCGTATCTTCCCACGTTTACCTTTACCCGTCTCTCTCCCCCCTCCCCCCCACACCCCCACGTTTTACCTTTACTACCCCACGTTTACTGTCTGTTTTGTTCTCTACAGAACCCACGTTCTACATTTTTCTCCATTTAATTTCACAAAATACCAAAGTTATCATTCTCCCAAATTGAAGTTCCATCTGATTCAAGTTGAAGATAAACAATGAAAAACATCAACACTCCTAAAAATAAACCAACAAAATCTACATTAGTTGATATCCCCTCTTTTGATTTGGGTGTTTTAACACCAAAATCACCCCAAAAAAAAGCAAAATGGAGATTCCACAGGCCCTCTCACCATACAGTGGATGGTTTCGGAGATTCCACAGCAAAAGGAAGGATCACTGTAAAAAAACTATTCTCTCTTTCTAGATGTGTAATTATTATTTTTTATAATTATTTGTTAAATAATTAAATCTTTTTATTTTATGCAGCGATTGTGGTGTATTTGTGGCTGCTTTTGCGGAGTATGTTAGCCTTGGAGATTTGTCAATCCCTTCAGAAGACCTTTCTGATATCGACCAACACCGTAGACGCTATGGAGCTCTCCTATGGGACTATGCTACAAAGAAGCAAGAAGATGGGTCAATCAGTGAAAGTGAGGTAATAGGCAGACTAGCAAGGAGGAAGGGTGCTCCTGCTAAAAATGAGAAGACTAGAGTACAGAGAAAGAAGAAATAGAGTCTTGTGTTCCTAGTTTAGTTGATGCCATTTTGTAGTTGAAGGAGAATACACTGTAGAAAATATGCCATTTTGGTTGTTTACAGCACTGTATCTTCAATATATTAAACTTGAGTACCTCTGTTTTGTTAGAATACAATTTGCCTACAATTAATCTTCACATAATTTTTATGAAATACCTTCAAGCACTAGGTAATATCTGTATATAACTGTCACTTGAAATAAAATTACACAGCAAACAGATGAAATAAATACTCAAATCATAGAAATAAATTATCCACAATGTATCTACAAATCATCTACAAATTATTAACATGAGTACAATTTAACTACATTTAACCTATATTTTACCTACAATTTGGAGTCACTTTACATTAAGGTTACTTTATTAATAACAGTTGTTTTTTAGATAATAAATATTAAAGTTTAACAAAACTATATAAAAGACAAATTTAGATGCCTGACAGAATACATAAAATCATATCAAACGCAAATACATAAATTGTAGTATACTTCATAATGATCTTCAAAAACTTAAACGATTACACAAAAAATCTGCTAACTTGAACTCACTAACATTTATTTTGAATTAGTATTCTAGCTACATGATATTCATTTCTTTTTGGGCGCATTCTTGCAAGTTCTTTTGTTACGCCGTTCACCTCCACAATTTTCACATGACATCTTGTACTTCTTTGGCTTTATTTCATCATATGTTTTATATCTTTCCTTTTGAGGTCTCCCTGGCTGCCTTTTATCTCCCGCCGGTGGCTTTACTACCTCATCCAGAATATGTTGTGGCACATTCCATTTGCTTTCATCAGGAAGAGGATTTACTGGTATTTCATACGTACACAGAAGGCTCTTCCTTGTGTAATACGGAGAGCAATAGTTTTCATATGTTTCATTCCTGTGCCTTAATGCTGCCAACGCATGCGCACATGGAAGTTCTTCAAGTTGGAATTGTCCACAGCTACATTTCTTATTTTCTAGACACACAATATACCGCTTCACACCATCTAACACAGTATGTATATGATCTGTTGAAGCCCTCACCTACAATTGCAGAACAAACAGAAAAAATATTATATGAATCATAAAAATAGATTATCTACAACTTATCTACAAATCAGCTACAAATATTCTACACCTTATCTACAACCTACAATTATCTACAATTTGACTACAATTTATCTACAATCTGGAAACACTGTATATTAAGTTATTTATTTTTTCTGCACCAAATAGACATATCTTACCCTAAGCTTGTAAGATAATGTTCTGTTGTCATCGAATTCTTTGTTGTATTTGTACCCAAGGTATGTGAAAGTACCCTTTGCCTTCAGTAACTTCTCTTTCGTCCAACGTTCAAGAAGTGTCCTCATATACTCTAATAGGTCAAATATTGGCAGCTCTCTTGCCTCTTTTGTTACAACATTCAACGACTCGGCAATGTTTGATGTCATAGTAAAAGTTCTATTCACCGTTGCATGAACTCTTGACCATCTATGATAGCCAATATCATATAGGTAAGATTTCACACGCCTACCTCTTCAATCTTCGACATCCTTTCATTAAATTCATCTAGAGTGTATGACCGTGCCGTAGCAAAGTACAATTCATGTAATTGTAGATGTCCCTTCTTGAATTTGGACCTTATATTTGTCCAAATATGCCACATGCAAGAGTAGTGTGGCATGCCCGGATAGACAATTGATTGCCTTCAGTATACTCTCATTCCTATCTGAAACAACACACATTGAAGGTCTTTCACCATATGCCTGCTTGAATTGCTCAAAGAACCACTTCCAAGATGCGTCGTTTTCAGAATCAACCACAGCATATGCCAAGGGCAATATTGTACCTACATTATTAATTCATAAAATATTAATTGGCAGCTTTGAAAATGTATATAATAATATAATTAAATAACAACTATAATATATATTCAGAATATAGACAATTTATCTACATTTCATGTAATAACTACAAAATTACTATAATTTAACTACATTTTATAGACTGCCTACAAAATAACTACAAAATTTTTACACTTTTTACCTGCTGCATCCATGGTGCTTGCTGTCAGCATAATTCCCCTGTAGGCTGACTTTAAGAATGTCCCATCAACCACTACTACTGGCCTACAATGTTGCCAACCACTTATTGATGTACAAAGAGCAACAAATGCATATAAGAAGCAATCATCTGCTGCCTTCTTCAATTTAACAACAGAACCAGGATAAGTCTCCTCAAGAATATAAAAATATTTGGGTAATTTGCTGTAGGAGTCAGCCGGATTCCCTCTCAAAAACTGTAAAGCATTTTCCTTTGCTCTCCATGCTTGCATGTAGCTTAGGTTCAGTCCATGTTCGGATAACATGTCAGTTTGTATGTCCTTTGGTGTGTAAACAGTCTTAGGATCACAATACTTTGGAACGACCATGCTACCAACTACAGCTGCAGTACGTTTGCGCTGTATGAATGTTTCGTCCATTAAGGAGCATGTGTGTTGTCGGATGAAACTCCTTATCTTGAACATTGCGGAATCATTAATTGACGTTGCCTTGAAGTGCCATTTACAGTTTTCAGCAACACATACAAGCCAGTAGCTACAAAAAAAATACAATATTTAATACATACTATAAATGTAGATGCAACAAAAGGACTGTTTTAACATAAATCGTTATAAACTACAATTTAACTACAATTGCACTACAATTTAACTACATTTTGTAAAAACCACATATATTCACCACAACACTGCTTTTAATGATCTTTTCTCCACAAATAACTTCATACCTTCTATGACTAGATCTTTTTACTCTGAACTGGAACTTGTGCATCACAGAAAAGTTCTTCATTGCAGCAGCTATAGTTTGCTTGTCCTGATACACTTGTCCTTCTTCAATATATGTTTGCGTAGATTCTGTTATTATTTCACTTTGATATTCCTCTATAGCTGGAGAGGAAGGAATATCAAGTAACTTTAGGGATCCAGACGAACTTGCATCAACATACAGATAAATGTAGTAACTATGTAGATAATTTTGAAAACAACATTGCTTTATCCTCTTCAGTACATTGTTTTTGTAGTTCAATTGTAGGTAAATGTAGTAATATTGTAGATAACACACTAAAACCATAACTCTATGCAATGTCGAATTATACAAACCTGCACTTATGCTATCGTTGGTGATTGCCAATTCCATATTGAAATCTCTTACACTTATACATAAAGGACACGAACCTAAGTTTTTATTCTCCTTTTTGGTCTCCATATACACACGAACCCCCATATCATTCCTAATCTCCATTGGAGGACAATTGTCATTCACCATTTATTTGATTTCTATAATTTTTTCTGATGTATCAATCGATAGTTGTTCTACAATTGTAGAAATCAGAATTCTGTAGCTTGCATTCTCATCTACCACAATGACATCAACTTCAAAATCTCTAAATCTGCCATAGTTATCCCAATTCCCATTCAATTGTAGCATGATTGGGATTTTTGACATGATTTCGTGTGGTTGAGAGAAAAAAGATGAAGAACAGATATACGATCGACAATTTGATTACTGAGAACAATGAAGAACAGTTTTGAATTCTACAGTTTGTATTCTGTTTGTTGAAGCTTTTGAAGCTCTGCGTACTTTTTTGAATTGTAGTTTCAGAGAGAATTACGCAGCTTCCAGATCTCCTTTACGTTTCAAATTTCGAATTTAATTTGGAATAAATCAATCCCAGATTCTGTGGCTGATTTTTCGCGCGCTATAAATGGCAGATTCTGCCTAATTAACGATTGGTATATAAATTGTAGTAAAAGTGTGGACTGGGCGGGTAATATACAAACTATGCACATTTTTTGTAATAAGGTTTCATATATGGTATAGTTAGGAAAAAATTCCTTCAAATTAATGGATCGGGAGTCTTTTAAGGTAGAAAATGAGTAGAGAAGACCAATGGTTTTCTTCGTCAATAATATCAATTTCTTAATTACTTATTTGCACCGAACAACATATACATCTTCTGTTGTTGCGGAAATCTTATGAGCAACTAACCTTTTTTTTGGATATGTTACCGGCGGAGACTGCAATATTAAACAAAAGAACTCGGAAAGGTTATTTTTTCCCCGAAAAAACTTGCAGTGGGGGTAGATGAGAGGGTGTCATTATTGTACTCATCTTGGAGTAATTTACTGACTCAATCAGCAAATGAAGACAATCGTTTGGGTAAATCCAAGTTACCAAAAGCACCTCACTTTGAGGACTGCAAGCTGACTGCAGAAACAAATATACGACTTGATACCCGAGTTCAAAAAGCTAGTTTCCTTCCATGGACTATATGGAAGGGACAATTAGATAACTTCCTTTTTACAGCAGAAGACGAGAAGCTGCGGTATCATAGGCATCAAACAGTATCTGAAGGAGCTTATCCTCTTTCAAGGTGAAATGAGAGTCTTTTACGGTGGAATGTATATATTTTGTAAACAAAACTTGTGTTGGTAGGATAAACAACAAAACATGGACAATTTTAGTAATAAAGTTTGAAATATTATATAGGTATGTAAAAATCGCATAAAAAAATCTGTGATTGAGTCCAGCTCTAACTCATGTTCTTCCAATTTAGCAAATAGATTCTTCTCTCGAGGCAATCAAATAAGATTAAAATTTATCCGTATCCTTCGTTTGTATCAAATAAAGGATGCAACGCAAGTGTCTTTTATTCACATACTAGTAAATTTACCCGCGCTTCGCGTGGTCATCAATAAATAAATTAACATTTTCTTTTATAATTTTTATTTAATCGGTATGCATATAAATTTTGCATGTGCATAAGAAAATTAATTTTATATCTAACACTCTTCATGTCATTGGTTTTACAAACGCTGGATAATTGGAACGAAGACAATCATACTGTAGTGAATTGGATGATTTGGAACACATATTTAAGATAACACTACAATCGAGATTTAGTTCCAAAATTGGTCATCATATGTCTGATTTCTGGAAAGAACTTGTAAAAACCTGTACCTATTTTCTAGTAGTGTTATAAACTTTTTTTTTTAAAAGAATACCTTTATACAAAACTATTTAAAAATCTATAAGTTATACAAAAGTTAATTCTATAACATGAAATATAAGAAATTTTCATTTAAAGAAATAGAAAAGGAAAAAAAGAAGTGTTAATTCAGATAAATATTTATAACATGCAATTCTGATCTTTGGTAGACAGTGATGAAAGCGATTCGCATAAAGCTATACGTTGACCAAATAAATATTTATAACATGCAATTCTGATCTTTGGTACACAGTGATGAAAGCGATTCGCATAAAGCTATACGTTGACCAAACAAAAATACAAAATCTGCAATTAAACTTCGGAAAAGGGTCAAAACTGCCCTAGACTATTGGAGTTGGTACAATAATGCCTTCCGTCCACCTATTTTGAAAAAATTGCCCTCACCGTTATCTTTTTGGCTCAAGAATACCCTTACGACTAACGGTCATGTTAGATAAAATAAAATTTTAATTAATTTCCACGTGTCATAATGGAAAAAGGTCAAAACTGCCCCTAGACTATTGGAGTCGGTATAATAATACCCTCCATCTCAAAAAATCTCTCCCCCCACCCCCTCCACCCCCCCGCCCTCTGGCGTGTGTGCGTTCATATTTTTCTTGTTCCTCTCATCCTTTTTTTGACCTTGCACTCTATTTGAATAATCACTACAAACATCATTAAAGTTTTATTTTCAAACAACCAAAATTTTTGTCACCAATACTTTACGTCACAAACTTTCAAAGACCCTGTTAGGCAAAAAAAAAAGTTAATTAATTCTCATGTGTCATTGTCTCATTGGCCTAACTTAAGACTCACCTAAATTAAAATAAACTCACCCACATTCTAAGACCCTTTTCCTCCGTTTCTTTCTCCTCTTTCTTTTAAAAATTATTTCACCAACTAGAACTCTCATACACCCATTTTTTCCCTAAGCAAACAAAACTCTCTCGTATAGTTAATCACCTTCCTCTTCCTATTTCTTTGTATATTAAATGTACACATCAATACTCCTATTTTTTTCATCACAGAAATATCATTCATCATCAATTTTTCTTACTACACTTTACTGCTTCATACAATAAGCTCAATCAAGTGTTTATTAAAGTCACATTCACCAATAAATCGTATTCTCTCATATTCTCAGGCATATGATCTCAAATATTTCTCTTGATTTAACTGTCTTTTTTTTATAATTGGCGGCGTTGATATAACTTGAAGAGCATCCTCGTACAATGGCTTAATTTATGGACATGGTCGGATGTTCAGACTATGGTGAGCCAATGAAGAAAAAAAAAGTCGAGGTCTGAGCAGAGACCAAAAAAATTATTGGTATAATCAAAATTGGATGCAGATTTGTCAGGAAATATACAACAAAAGATATTGCAAATGCTCAATGATCATT